GAGGGTGCTCGCGATGCAGGACGAGAACGAGCAGCTGCGGCGAAAGGCCCGCGGGCGGGTCACGGCGGGACGTGGGCGTAGGCCCCCAATCGGCCTCCTCCCTCCCTCCCCAATCGGCCTCCTTCCTCCCTCCCCTTCCTCCTTCCTCCCTATCCCTGCTCCTTGTTCCCCTCGCTCACGCGCTTCCGTCCTGGTCGCCCCCTCCCCTCTCGCCCTCCCTCATCATCCCTCCCTGTATCTCTTCCTCCTGCCGTCTGCTTACTGGATGCTTTTTTCCTCCTCCTCCTCCTCCTCGTCCTCCTCCTCCTCCTCCTCCTCCTCCCGATGCGGGTAGATCAGGCGTCTCTCAGAGCCTCTGCCCCTCCTCATGCCTCATCTCCCTCCTCATCCCCCCCCATCCCTCCTCCTCCCTGCTTCTCGTCCTGCTCATCCTGCCTCCATCCTACCGTGAATTGCCGTACCCCTTCCTGGCGGGGTCTCCCTGTCAGAAGGTAGATGCCGTAGGGGAGGATGTGTTTTTCTCTCCCAGCAAGTGTGAGGACGAGGAGAAGGCACTGGAGGCAATGGTAAGCGGCGCTGCACTGCAAGCATCGCACGCTCGTCGTAGGACATCTTTTTGTAGGCTTGCCAGGTGGGGCCTGGCGTCATGCCGTGCTTCAAGTGTTCGGCCTGTGAGCGCTGGGGTCGGGGAAATGTTGGCTGCACCAAATAGGCAGAGGCCCAATGATACCGGAGAACAGCTCCAATCATAATCTTTTAAGGGCTATAGGGCTATGGCTACATGGGCTATTTGGGCTATAGGGTAATAGAGCTACAGGCTATATGGCTATAGGGCTATAGGTCTAGGGTCGGGGAAATATTGGCTGCACCAGTAGGCAGAGGCCCAACATCGGACCACTCAGACAGGCATGTCCTACAGAAAGCTACATGCAGATGAGGACGACGACCCAGCAGAACAACCACACCACTGAGTGAGACACTGATCAGCGGCACTGGGTCCACCACGCCAAGAGAGGTGGGACTCGTACAAATGTTTCCCCAAAGATGCTCACAGTCCCGCCCTGGTACCCCACCAGTGCTCGTGACCAGCCGCCACGGACCGACCAATGCCTTGTGTCGATCTATGACGAAATTGTTAGGTTCTTCCTCACCCACACTGGGTGAAAAGGGTACGACGCCAACATCGGTGGGTGATTACGTTCGATGTCTCAAGCTACGTGCACGGACGTCGGACGTACGACTTCGGCTCCATGGGAACGTACACGCGCCCAGAATTCGAACATGTGCCTACCATTTGCAACCATAACAAGAAATGGCGGTGTTAGAAACACATGTACAGCAACTGCCAAGAGAAATTCACCTACGTGGCCAATATATTTCTTGAGACTACTGCCACGAGACAATGCGGCTATTTGGTATGATGATGGTTCTGGTCGTACTTGGTATCGAAGTCGTGTGAACTGCTTCGGTGAGTTCGTACATTTCTTCGCGCAATAACCCGCACGCCTGAGAGTTGAGCAGAGGAAATATTCGAACTAAGCGAACAGGACTGGTCTCACCGCGAAGCGTGGGGGTCGTTCCCGCGCGGAGGTTGTCGTTTCCTTCCGAGTTCCTTCCGTCAATCGGCGCCGCTGCAAGATCCCGTGTTCATCTCAATGTGTGTTCAGCTCCTTTTGAGATTGGTCAGGGGTCTTGGCTTAGCGTGTCGCTCCTCCAGTTCTGGCCCACCACGCTTCGGCGCGATACGCTATCCATGTCCCCATTCCATGGCGTCATCGTCCCGAGATGTTTCCCTGGCCTCCCGCCCCGCGGAGCGGTGTGTTTGGCAGCAGGCACTTTAGAAAGGCCGTGGGCAGCGAGGGCTCGAGGCCCAGTTTCAGCCGCGCTCCTGTGACCAGAAGTCGTCGGCTGGCAAACGCCTGACCCTGCAGTTTGGAAAGCTTCTGCAGGCCGATGGCTTGTTTTAGCAGAATTTCCCCGGCAGTCATAAGGACAGTTTTTTGCGCAGGAGATAACTTCCCTGAAAGTGAAAACCATGCTGGAAAAGAAGTTGGCGCCGTTTTCACACCCTTCGATTGATTCCATACTGGTCATTAGCCTTTGGATTGATGCTGCGCGATAAGTTGTTGCTTGGCAAGGCTCTTAGTGCAGAGCACGAACACCTCTTCAATCAGATTCGTTCAGACAGTGTGCCAACCTGCATTGGTTAAAGTGAGGATATGCTATCCCAGCTTTGTTCCCCACATGCGGAACACCATGTTCAAAATTTCACAGGACGTGGCAATGCCCATGTGCAGCCTGTAAAAGAAAAGAGTGTCTCGAGGATGAATCACGTGCTGATGCGATTCGGGTTGGAGAAAGCCATTTCCTAGATGTTCGCCTCTTGCAGCCACAGCATGCCCTCTCGGAACCTGCAAGCGATGGGAATCGTAGGTTCGAGGGGGCGGATTGTCTATCCGTTGATCCGTTCTTCCTCCAGGGGCACAAGTTCTCATTGGCG